ATGAGCCTGACAGTCCCGTTCCCAGATGAGCTGCTGATCTTGCACAAAGCATCGCGAGGGTCCCTTGACAGGCGCCGGTGAATCAGTGCTGCTTCTTAAGGACCTGAGCTGTGTCCCATAAAGTGCTTTTAGCTTCTCAGAGCCCCTCTGGCCCCATTCTCCAAGCGCAGCAGCCACCATGCCTGCCTGGGCCTGAGCGCAGGAATCCAGTGAGAGGCACAAAAGCACTTTGGAGATGATTCTACAATCCTCATTTATTGCTGTCCATGCTCATAAAATATGGTGCTTAATCGTCCTGGCAATTGGGGTAACCAATCTGAAAAATAATTAGGGCCTTCTTTGAGATTACTTTGCCTTCTAATTAAAATCTCAAGACTGGGATATTAGAAATGCATTGTCAATACGAAGTCTCAGATGCACCCAGCTAACCTCATTTGGGAAGGCAAAATTAATTAGTTTGTGTTTTAACACCCAGCTGTTATCCTAAGAAAAGAAATAGTCTGCAAGTTGGCCACACACACAGTCTCTAAATTGGCCAGAGCGACTGAGGAGATATAAAGGAAATTAAGAGTGATTTGTTCCTGCGTAACTCAGTCAGCTTCTATTACAAGCTGCTCATTAAACGGCACCTGCCGTGTCCCTGTCAGACATTGCTCAGGAGTTCTTGTTTACCCAGGGAGGCAGAAAAGGAAATGAGTGGGTCCCTCTGTGCCAAGGAGCTCTTGATACATTCTGGAGCTTCAATTGCTATTAACACGTTTCCCAGTGAGCGATTCTGGGTGAACAGCCTGGCACGAGATCTGAAAGGCTGGGTGTTCTATACCTGTCCAGCCGGCCACGTTACAAAGCTGTGTATACCGTTAGCATCCCCATTTCTGCTGTTTTGCTTCTTCCCATTTTTCAATTCCATTTGAGCCCAACATTTTCAGAGTGCATTAGAAGCCAGGGTAATCATTCTAAGCTGTGATACAATAACAAAGCCCGAAACCCTCGTGGTTTAGCACAACAGAGGTTTATTTCTCATCCTTGCAAAGTGTGACGTGGGTTGGCAGGGGCTGTCTTCCACCCAGTGATTTAAGGGTCTAAGAGTCTTCCACCTTAGGCTGACACCTCTTTACAGGAGGCTCGGATTTCTCCAAGGCAGGAGAAAAGAAAGCGGGGGGACCTACCCTTGAAGAACAATGGCCCAGAAGGGACATACTCCCTGTCACAGCCTATCAGCCAGAACAGGTCACATGACCCCAGCCCAATTACAAGGGATGCTGAGAGACATAGGGGAGTGCATTTGTATTTGTTGATCACTACTCTCTGCACGGTGCCTGGGCTGCACTATGCACTGAGCCTGGTGCCTTTGAAATCCCTACAAAGGTCAGGGATGGCCCCTGCCCTGGGGAAGACCACAGCAAAGCTTTGCATGGAACACCCATGGTAATGAATTATCAGCCCAGGTTAATAAGCATAATAGCAGTAGTCACAAAGCTCATGATAATGGGGTGGAAGTGATTAACTCAGGTTGAGCTGGGTGGAACAAAGGGAACATTTCCAGGAAGACATGATTCATATGCTGAATTTTGAGAAAAAAAAAGAGAGTTCACCAAGGGGACAGGCAGTGAGGTAAGGCGCATCTCCGGGGGTGGGGGGCATACCCACCTCTCAGCTACTTGGACATTGCACCAGATTAAACTCTTCCCTGACCCTCTCAGAGCAGAGCCTGATGGCCTGAAAAGAAATCCGTTTCTTGCCCTGCTAAGGCTTTACTATCAGAAAATAAACAAACCACAAATCCCTAATATAGCACGTGGCTGGCGTCAGGGCTTGAATTCACTCAGGGAGTGAACGGTCAATAAGATGCTGTCATGTGGGGACACTGCCAGTGGCTCGCGTGTCCCTCGTAGTGTCAACAGCAGCCGTGACCAGCTCATTCTCAGCTGCCACCCACCCAGGGGGCAAAAAAGGCCCAAGAATCAGGGGTGGGGAAGCTGCATTTCATCTGAGCTCTACCTATGTAACCAGGCGAATGAGAAGTTTGCCAATTCTCAGGCAAGTCACCCAGGACCCCCACGTCTTCCTCTGCAAACTGAAGGACAAGTTCATCCGGAAAGCCTGTGGGTCACCTACAGACATGGTCTGTTGACTCACACAATGGGGCTTCACATGATGTTTTAAAATTTGTTTAATTAGTTGCCAACATTTAAAAATTTGGAGAATATGCATAAAAATCCAGATTTCTGATACTATTTAAAGTTAAAAAAACAGAAAATTTGGCACCACCACACTGGACAACAACAAAACGGGCCACAGTCCCCACCTCTCCCTATTGCATTGTCAGTACTGAGGCCTGGTGTTGGTTTTCCTTACATGCACCCCAACTCCTGGCTCACTCTGGGCTAGATGAGTCCTCCAGGCCAATCATCTTTAAAACTCCGACTATTCTTTATGCTCTTTTCCCTTCTTTTCTCTAAATATGTCTCCTTCTTAGGTTCTCTTGGCAAAGCCACCTACCAGTCAGAGCAGGGCTTCTTAGCCTTGGTCACATATTTGAATTACTGGGGGAGGCTTTAATAATCCCAGTGTCCAGGCTACACCTGGAAGTGGGACCCATCAACATTTTCAGAGTGCATTAGAAGCCAGGGTAATCATTCTAAGCTGTGATACAATAACAAAGCCCGAAACCCTCGTGGTTTAGCACAACAGAGGTTTATTTCTCATCCTTGCAAAGTGTGACGTGGGTTGGCAGGGGCTGTCTTCCACCCAGTGATTTAAGGGTCTAAGAGTCTTCCACCTTAGGCTGACACCTCTTTACAGGAGGCTCGGATTTCTCCAAGGCAGGAGAAAAGAAAGCGGGGGGACCTACCCTTGAAGAACAATGGCCCAGAAGGGACATACTCCCTGTCACAGCCTATCAGCCAGAACAGGTCACATGACCCCAGCCCAATTACAAGGGATGCTGAGAGACATAGGGGAGTGCATTTGTATTTGTTGATCACTACTCTCTGCACGGTGCCTGGGCTGCACTATGCACTGAGCCTGGTGCCTTTGAAATCCCTACAAAGGTCAGGGATGGCCCCTGCCCTGGGGAAGACCACAGCAAAGCTTTGCATGGAACACCCATGGTAATGAATTATCAGCCCAGGTTAATAAGCATAATAGCAGTAGTCACAAAGCTCATGATAATGGGGTGGAAGTGATTAACTCAGGTTGAGCTGGGTGGAACAAAGGGAACATTTCCAGGAAGACATGATTCATATGCTGAATTTTGAGAAAAAAAAAGAGAGTTCACCAAGGGGACAGGCAGTGAGGTAAGGCGCATCTCCGGGGGTGGGGGGCATACCCACCTCTCAGCTACTTGGACATTGCACCAGATTAAACTCTTCCCTGACCCTCTCAGAGCAGAGCCTGATGGCCTGAAAAGAAATCCGTTTCTTGCCCTGCTAAGGCTTTACTATCAGAAAATAAACAAACCACAAATCCCTAATATAGCACGTGGCTGGCGTCAGGGCTTGAATTCACTCAGGGAGTGAACGGTCAATAAGATGCTGTCATGTGGGGACACTGCCAGTGGCTCGCGTGTCCCTCGTAGTGTCAACAGCAGCCGTGACCAGCTCATTCTCAGCTGCCACCCACCCAGGGGGCAAAAAAGGCCCAAGAATCAGGGGTGGGGAAGCTGCATTTCATCTGAGCTCTACCTATGTAACCAGGCGAATGAGAAGTTTGCCAATTCTCAGGCAAGTCACCCAGGACCCCCACGTCTTCCTCTGCAAACTGAAGGACAAGTTCATCCGGAAAGCCTGTGGGTCACCTACAGACATGGTCTGTTGACTCACACAATGGGGCTTCACATGATGTTTTAAAATTTGTTTAATTAGTTGCCAACATTTAAAAATTTGGAGAATATGCATAAAAATCCAGATTTCTGATACTATTTAAAGTTAAAAAAACAGAAAATTTGGCACCACCACACTGGACAACAACAAAACGGGCCACAGTCCCCACCTCTCCCTATTGCATTGTCAGTACTGAGGCCTGGTGTTGGTTTTCCTTACATGCACCCCAACTCCTGGCTCACTCTGGGCTAGATGAGTCCTCCAGGCCAATCATCTTTAAAACTCCGACTATTCTTTATGCTCTTCTCCCTTCTTTTCTCTAAATATGTCTCCTTCTTAGGTTCTCTTGGCAAAGCCACCTACCAGTCAGAGCAGGGCTTCTTAGCCTTGGTCACATATTTGAATTACTGGGGGAGGCTTTAATAATCCCAGTGTCCAGGCTACACCTGGAAGTGGGACCCAAGATCAGTCCTCTCAAAGCTCCAGGTGATTCCAGCCTGGACTGGGCACCACTGAGTCCGAGCTGGAAATGCAATGGGCTCACTCAGGAGCGGGTGAGGCCCTGTTACTGGAGGTGGTGAAGCCAAGGCAGATGAACCCTTTGCAAGGAAGTGTTGGGGGATCCAAACAGTGCTCCTAGAGTTCTTCCTGCGTCTCCCTACCTTTGCTTCCAGGGTCGTGCCAAGCTCAGCAGGCCAGCCCATGAGCTTTTCTGCACTACAGCGGCAGAGGCCAGGAGCATGGCTGCAAAGCCAAGAACACTCCCAGCTGGCCCTTCACAGGAAAAGTTTGCCAGCCTCTGCTCTAGACTCCAACAAGACTAGGTCCAGCCCTGTCTATGTGGGTGACCCTGGGCAAGCCACTTTCCTCTCTGAGCCTCCTATCTGCACCTGTACCTACTAGCAGGCTTGTAGTGTGTCCGTAAATCACGTCTGTGAGAGTGCAGAGCGTAAGGAGCGTTCCATTGCTTGGTAAATGGTGGCTGTCAGTCCTCTGGGAAGAGAACCGGAAATCAGTCACAGGAACGTTCCCTACGGTCCCTGGAGCAGCAGGCGGCAGGCTACTGGACAAGATAAAATATTCCTCTTCCTAGAAGGGATAATTCACAACTCATGTTTCTTTTTTTTGTTTATTTTCTCCCTCTGCGCCCCCACCCCACCTCTTTTTTTTTTTCAGATACTGGCTGACCAACAAAGTCCACATCAAAAGACCCACCACCGGTCTCTTGATGTACACCCTAGCCACACGTTTCTGCAACCAGATCTACCTCTACGGCTTCTGGCCCTTTCCACTAGATCAGAGCCAGAACCCTGTCAAGTACCACTATTACGACAGCCTCAAGTACGGCTACACCTCCCAGGCCAGCCCCCACACCATGCCCTTGGAGTTCAAGGCCCTCAAGAGCCTGCATGACCAGGGGGCTTTGAAACTGACTGTTGGCCAGTGCGATGGGGCCACGTAAGGAGGGCACCCCGTGGGACTCAGTGGCTCACATTTCCTGCCAGCAACACCACAGGCAGATGGGAGTCAGGGTGGCACAAACTATAGAACAAGCAGGCTAGTGGTTTTCTTTGTTAAAGTGTTAAACAGTGACCAGAATATATATATCTATACCTGCATATATATATTGACCTGAGTATTTATAACTGTGTGGTGTTCATCTAGCATTAGGCAGATAAGCCACAAGAAGAAGGTGTGGAGAAACCCACCCGAACCGGATTGGAACTCAGTCCATCTTTAGGGGTGGAAGGACTCGATGTGAAAAGAAGCCAGTCCCGTGACTTTGGATGACAAACTGCCTCCCGGGCTGGAGGGATCTTTGGGCTCATGGATGACTGGAGAGCCACCTGTTGGCAGCTGCCCCAAGCCTCTGAGATATGTGGAGCCTGGGGGAGCCCAGACTCTGCGGGGACAGCTTGACCCAAGTCTAACACAGTGCTGTTCATGCAGGAGGGAGGTCGGCCCGTTCGGCCCAGCAAAGGAGCACAAGGACGCCTCGCAGAGGCCACGTCAGAGCTGAGGGTCTCGTTCCACCAACTTAAGAGTTTAACTGCCTAACGGACGAACCACGGTTGACCCGCCCGTCCCTGACGGGCCTCCGCAGCTCTGGAAAGAAGGCTAGAGGAGACACAACAGGCAGTTCATACTCCAGCTTTGCGAGAACCACCAAGAACTGGGATGCAGCAGACAGACGACACAAGAGAGCTGCTCCAAATCACATTTTTGAAAAATCTGAGACCAGCTGCTAAGGGACGGAGCTCCATCCCAGAGTAAGGCAGAAGTGTGGGGTGGTTCTGGGGGTTCTTTACAGCAATTTGCCTCCAGCAATGAGGCAGGGTCCTGGGAATGTCACCCTCCAGGTTAGCCCCCATCCTGCCCTGTTAGAATGTCATATGAGGGACTGCACTGTCCTCTTCTGCCACCAGGGAAGCCACAGCTAAAGCTTGAAAGGGCACTGTGAAGATAAAGGTCATCCTTTTTAAAATATATGTGATTGCCTTTCTGGGTGCCTCACAGAACCCTAGAGTGTGAGACCTGGAAGAATGTTAAACATCTAGCACCATTTCTCTGCAAAAATCCACTCTCTGTTTGCTTTCTGCATTGTGCACTCTGCAGGGCCTCTACACCAGACTGTGTCAATGTCACTTTCCTGTCACTTCCGCATCCTGGTGGTTACACTAGCCAGCACCAGGCTCCAACATTGTTTTCAACTCCACAGGGAAAGTTTCCACTATCTACCCGCACTACCATCCTCTCCATGGAGGCAAAGATTTTAGAATTTTGCAAAATCCTTTTATCCACCTATTAAGATTAGTAGTTAAGACTTCTTTTCTTTTTTTTTTTTTTTGGCCCAAAGCCAAATACTAGACCTACTCTCCCCAGGGAAATCTATGCTTGATGCCAATCACCTAGGGTCTGGAATCACGGGTCACATATAGATACGCAGAAGCCAGCTTTGTATTCCCTCGCCTGATAAATAACAGTACTTTAAAATATATTTGGAAGATAAGTAAAAAACCATTATCTTGAAGGTGAGGGGAGTTAAGTAACCAAGATCTGCTCCTAAGCATATGAGACAGGACATAATTAATCGGTAGCAATTCAGAACAGGACATTTGCTCTAAATTAAGGGCTGATGGGAAGCGAGTGGAGGCGATCCTCAGAACCGTTGACCCCACACCTGGGCGCTGCAGCTCCAAGCCACCACTGGGACACTACATGGCTGTGTGGCTCTGTTGATGCTTGAAATCCGAAATCTGGGATTTGCATTATAAAATGAATATTTTAAAAAACAGCAGCTCTAACAGACTCTGTGGGAACTGAGTGGTTTGGACACCTCACAAGAAGTGGAAGTGATTCATATACTGTTTTATGCTTCTCCAGGGCCTTCCACCTTGCGGACCTCAAAGGCCCTGGGAGATATTTAATTCCCGAAGCTCACAGTGCCCTGGGGAACAGGTGGAATTGGCAGCAGGGCCTCGGCAGATTAGCCTCGGCTTTGGATTCCAGAACAGTCCTGGGGGGAGCCCCGGCGTCGGGTCCTGGTGTTCGCCACTAGCACCCCCTCCCCACGGGGAGCTAGCAGCCCGGTGCTGTTTGGGAACACGCTTTTCTTTCTGTCCCATATTGGTCTTGGTGGCTCAGACTGATGCCGCAGGAGGGGAGGCAGAAGGAGCTCTAACAGCCTGCCTGCAGGTTCTCCAGGGAGAGGCTGGGGACCCGGGCCCATTGACATGCCTCCGTTCCCGCTCAGGGCCTGGGCTGCCAAAACGGGGGACTTGCAGGGGCCTGGATTTCCCTCACTCCCCCTCGTCTGTCTGGACACACCACAGCTCGTCTGGGGCCCCAAGGAGGCCCAGCCTGTCCCTGATGCACTGCCTCGTGTGCAGCGGTCACAGGCCCTCCGGGAGCAGGCCGTCAGTCCGTCGGCCTCAGCCAGGCGACCCCTCCCAGCACCTCCGGGGACCACCAGCCAGTCCCCACCGTCACGCACCCTGAAGGCCCTCGGACCTGAGATCTCCCCGCCAAACCTCCGCTCTCTTGCCTCCCTTTCACCTTCTTCCTCCCATTTCCGAGGAAGCACGTTGGTCCTCTTGCCAGGGACGTCGCCCTCTCACCCTCAGCCACTCCTCTGCCGCGTCCTCTGGTTCCCACACAGACGTTTCCCCCCAGCCCGGCTCCTGCAGCCTCCTTCCTCACCTTCCCCTCACCGCCAGACCTGGGAACGGGCCTCAGGTGCCCCAGCTGCCTGCCCTGCTGACCCCCACCCTGCCTCCGCACCCCCCCAGGGCGCCCATCACCAACTCTCCCTCTGCATTGCTTGGCTCTACAGTGACCCCTCCAGACCCTCCTGTCCCTCTGCCCAGGATGGTTCTCCTCCTTCCCAATGCTGCTTCATCATTTATGTATGTATGTATTTATTTATTTATGTATTTATGATTAATTTATTGACACCCTTACCTTGATCTGCAAGGGAGCCGAGGTAGGTCTGAGCATCACATTCCCTCCCGCCCCTGGCCCCTCTACGTGGACATTTCCGGCATGGCATCGTCTCCCCTGTGCCCTTCTGTTTCATGCCATGCTCTCCACCCACGGCCTCACGCCCCCCTGGGGGGCCACCCTCCATGCTCCCTGCAGCCCGGGCCCTCCTCCGAGGTCTGGGCTCAGACTGCACTCGCTCACTGGACCCCCGCCTCACCTGCTCCACCAGAGCCATAAACTCATCTCTGACGTCAAGTTTATCATCTCTGCTTCCCTTCCTCCATGATTAAAAGTCCCATATGGGATCCCCTCAGCCACCCAATTCTGAGACCCTAAAGTCGTCTTCAGCTCACCCGCACACATTCCCTTGCTCTTCCTTCCCGCCAGCACGACCCTGGCCCACCTGCCACTTGGGTGATTTCCTTAGCCGGCTCCTCTCCCAGCTTTCCTCCAGGCATGCTCACACATTCTCCAGCCTATCCTGATCATGCGCAGCGAATTTTATCTCCAGCCATTCACACATTTTTACGAGTGGCCGTCACGCACAGAATAGGACATTACAAAAAAAATGACTTACAAACCACCCAGTAAGGCCTGTTCTCCCTTCACACCCTGAACTGGTCCGTGCAGAATGGCTGTCATTCCTGGGAGGGGTGCCCGGTTTCCCTGTCTCTGTGCCTTTGGTCCTGCTGTTCTCATCTGGCATATTCTCTTCTGTTTCCTGCAAGGCCCACGCAGAAACCACACTTTCATGAAGCCCTCCGTGATCTACCAACCCTGGGATCGCTCCCTCTGCTGAAACACCATAGCACTTTATTTGTACCTTTCTCACGGCACTTACCATATTCTGCCTTGTATTATAGTTATTGTGCCCTTGTCCTATGACCGTTCTTAGATTGTAAGCTCGCCAGGGGCAGGGACTGTGTTTTATTCATCTGTGTCCATCACAGCACCAGGGTGGTGCGTAGCACACCACAGTTGCTCAATAAATGTTTGTTGGATTAAATCCTTAATGCCTGTCAAGAGCCGTATGATTAATGAAGTCCTTTTGCATCTGTAATGTCCCAAGAACCTCTGAAAAATCATGTGAATTGGGCAAATGCAGAAATAATCATCCCCATTGTATATATCATACAACTGAGGCAAAAAAAACTGCATGAAGCCCCAAAGTTAATGGCAGAATTAACACCTGGATCTTCCCATCCCCACTCCAGGGCTTTTTCTGTCAGTCCTTCTGTTTGGGTCACTTTATCCCAAAAACTGACCTTAAGCACAGTCCAGGCATCACTTTCACAGAATCAGGTGGACCCCGGTATAGACGGCAGCCTTAATGCCCATCGACACGGGCAAAACAGCCCTCCTTCTGGGGAGGACAAAAGCCATTCAGGTTTTCCCAGGCCCAGGGGGTGGAGCTGTGGGACCTCATAAATCATGCCCACTGCTGCTGTCATGGGGTAGGAAACCATCTGCCCAGATGGCAAAGAGACCAGCAGCTCCGAGAGGCTGCTGTTTAATAAATCTCTTCATGCCTAATTAAGGCTCCCCTTCCAGAATGAGTGGAGCAGGGCCATTTGCGGAGGCCAGTCAGATGGGACTCCTGACGTGTGTGCAGCCTCCTGAATGCCCCCAGTGGTGTCCCGGGACACCGCGGTCTGCCCCCGCCCACCTGCCTGTCCCCTGTGCTGCGGATGTCATCATCTCTTCCTGTCTTCCTCCTCCCCGGGAGAACACCATTTTGCTTCACTCCTCCAGGGCTCTGCCCCTTGGCATCCACCAAGAGCAGGGTGAGCCTGGAGACCCCAGTTGCAGCTCTTAGGAGCTGACCTGGGGCGAGGAGGAGAGATGGCAGGGATGGAGGCGGGTGGTGAGCACTCCGAGCCATCCCTCGGGGATGCAAGTACACAAGGGGCTCTGTTCTGCTGGCAGGCCACCCGCAGCAATGGAAGGGGTCCACAGTTACTGCCGACAAGCAGCAGTTTGATCACCCTTCATGATGAAGGTGACAGTTTCATTTCTGTCCTCAGCAGTCAGGTGGGGCCAGATCCCGCATCCAATGGCTTTGCAAAGCCACGTAGTCCCAGGCCACCCAGTTGGTCCAAAATCAGCCCGGCACTCTGCAGCCAGTGCCCACTAGAACCACGCAGCAAGGACGCTAACGGTCCCTCATGGCCCTTCTCAGTTTCCTTACTCCCCCTAGAACTTGGGGTGGGAAATGGGATTCCCACAGGATTCCAAACACTGTGTCAGGGGAGACCCCAAATGCTCCAGCCTTGACAACATGTTCAAATATTAAAGGGGCTTCTCTGAAACTGCCCCAGCACCCACCTGGAGCAGCCAGGCCTTGGGGAGTTAATAGGAAATGAGGAGCTGAGGGCCAAGAAGTGGGGAAACTGCCCTATGCCCCACGTGGACCCTGCAGGCCAGCCCGGCCGAGGAGGAGAGCAGAGTCCATGCCACACATTGAGGGGAGGCACGTCGGCATGGGCTCTGCAGGACACCCCCCACTTCAATTTAGTTCAAAACGCCTTCGTTTTCTAAAATGAGGTTGTCACAGTGGAACCGCTAGACAGAGTCTGTGAAGGCATGACTGGCTCATCAGAATAATTAGCACTTAGTGGAAGTTGCATGTTGCAAAGAGGACTCACCTTGGGGTGAGCTGTTTTGCTCAAGGGAAGCCGGCATTGTGCATTCCAGTTCCAGCTGCAACCGCTGGTGTCTGCTCATCTGTAACATGGAGAAGAAGGCACCTGCAATGAAGAGAGAGAAGTTGTGTAGGGGGAGCTGGTGGGCGAACGGGTTCTATAGAGCAAATGAACTGCCGGCTGTGTGTTTTCAGGATTCTGCTTGTGTGATCGCCCTGCTTAAATATGTCAGGGGCTTTCCTTCACCCTTGGGAGAAAATTTCCAAGCATCTCACCATGGCTTACAAGGTCTTGAAGCCTCCTCCACTCTGGTTCACTACAGTTCAGCCCCACAGGCCTTTTTGCTCCTCCTAGAACTTTCCAGACTCATTCCAGTCTCAGGGCCTTTGCACTTGCTGTGCCCTCAGCCTGGAAAGCTGCTTCACCAGCTCCTTATGGGCTGCCTCCTCCTCAGCTTTCAAGTCTCAAATTGAAGGTCACCTCCTGGGGAGTCCAGGTCTGGTGTCCCTCAGCTAATTACTCTCGATTCCATATCACACTATCCCCGCAAGGTGGTCTTCAGAAACTATGTGAATTACCTTATTTATGTTGTAGTTCTCAACCCTAAGAAACTTCATCAAAGATACCCACACCCACACCCCACTCTGGATAAGGTGAATCAGTATCTCTGGAAATTGATCGGGATGTCCTATTTTTTACAAGCTCCTCCTAGTGCACAGCGAGGACGGAGAAACACTGACATGTTTTCTTCCTTGTTTAGTGCCTGCCTCCCCCTCCAAAATGCAAGCTCCATGGGGGCGGGGGCCCTGTACAGCATGTTCACTGAAGCATTCCCAGCTGCTGGAACTGTGCCTAGCACAAAGCAGGCACTTAATAAAACAAGCACGGGCTATCTGGATGTGTGAGTGCTTTGAAGGAAGGTACACCCCATTGACCCCCAGAGTGGGGTAGAGTCCCACCTAATGCAAAGAACCAGGGCCTCCCCAAAGGAGAAGGGATTGCCTCTCTTCCTCAGCTTGGTCCTGCATCCATGCCCCGTGCAAGGTGCCTCCATAACAGCTATCTGGGCAACAGCTCTGTGTGTTTTATTGCTCCCATTTTATAGATTAGATTACCAAGGTTCTCAGAGGTTAAAAACATGTTCGTGACGCCAGAACCAATGCTTAGCACGAGCCCACCCTGCAAGTCCCTGAAGGCCGCGTAATGCTCTCAACTTCTCCCATCTGGGCGTCGGGGAGCCTGCATGCCAGAGAGAGAAAAGAGGCTCATTCTCCTTCCACCCAGAACCTCCACACGCTACTGCGCAGTACTGGCTTTTCCCGCGGGCAGAGCTGACACAGACCCAGAACACACTTGCACAACAACGTCTATTCCTTGCCAGTTAGCTAAGAGCTACTGCCTTGAGCCATCACCTCCCCCAGGTGCCCCCACGCTGCCGCTCTGCGGCCAGGGTCCATTCTGATTGGTCAGGGCCCGGCGGAGTTGTTAGCTATTTTGCATATCACCTCCCACCTCCCCACACACACATGCTCCCAGGCCCTTCAGGCTAGAGGGCTGCTGGGGCACCTGGACCACAGAGCAGGACACCAAAGCCTCATCTCATTGGTGTTTTCCTGAAGCCAGGCCTGGCTGGCTTACCTCCCGCACGTTTTCCATGACATCCTTGACCCAGAGCAGATGTTCCGTGTAGCTCATGTGAGTACAGACAGCAAATTCAATTGTGGCAGCATCAAAAGGCGCAGAAGGACAGGATCTTAGGAGAGTGAGCCAGGACTGGGAATGGAAAACAATGGCCTTGAATGATGTCTGGGGGGCACAGAAGGGCTGGAGATTGATGGAAAATGGGAAGAGCGGCAGAGGGCCAAGAATGAGCAGATCACATTTAGTTTTTTTTATTGAAATAGTTGATATACAATATTATATTTTTCATATGTACAACATAGTGACTCAATAATTATATACATTACTAAATGCTCACCACAGTAAATGTAGTTACCTGTTACTGTACCAAGATGTTACAATATTATTGGTTATATTCTCTACGTTGTACTTCCCCTCCTAAGAGTTATTTATTTTATGTTTCTTGAACATGAACTAAATGCTTCACATGGACTAACTCATTTAATCCTCACAGCCATCCCTTGAAAGTGGATGCTATTATTATGCCCACTTCACAGACAAAACAGCTAATGCAAAGAGGTTTATTAACGTGCCCAAGTTCAAAAAGTTAGAAGTGGTTGAGCTGGGATTTGAACCCAAGTCCTCTGGTTGCAAAGTGGTACAGGAAGCCCCAAAGCTTCTCCTTGGCCAGCATCTCTCAGGGCCCTGGGGGTCACACTGGCCTTGTCCTGAGGGATCCAGCCAGTTCCCACGGGTGCCATTCACACACCAGTCTCAGCCACCACTGCCTCTCCCCCACCAAGCTGTCATCTCCAGGCCCACAGAGTGGACGTGCTCTGTAGTACGGTGACAGTGACAGGCTCTGGCTGCACCCCCTTGAGCCCTGTGGATGCATCTGCTGCCTTTTGAACTTGGCAGGGAAGCTGGGACTAGACATCCCCCTCTGCACACACCCGACCACCGGCCCAGTGTCTAGAGATGACATGGAGGCAGCCAGACCACAGGCTGCCAGAACGATGTGGAATCGCCCTCTGGCAGAGGCCAGCTTGGAAACCAGAAGCTAGACCAGCGAAGCAGAGGACAGAAGCAAATGAATAAAAAGCAAGAACACAACAGATAACAGGGTGGGAAAGGTTATGGTGCTTTCCTGTGAACTCTGCAAGATGTCACCAGCTGCCCTAGTCAGGACCCTTGCTCTAACAGCCTGCCGCAAAGTCAGGTATCACACCAGGCGGGGTTACAGCAGAGAAGGGGCCTCCAGCCCTCCTTTGCATCAGGAAATCTGGGGACCCCAAAACACCCAGGCCCTAACCTTTCCTGTACAGTGTCCCATCTGAGCAGTGGTCCAGCCACCTCACCTCCTGTCTCTGTTTCTTCATCAGCAAATGGTGAATAAGAAAACCTGCCTGCAGGACACTGTGGTGACTGAGCCTGATGAGGTCTCTTGAGTTGTTGCTCACAGCAGGCAACCGTGCACGACAACTCACTGCCTTCGCAGGGGCCCTTTCCGGCCAAGCAGGTGAACACTATTGCATGGGAACTGATCAGTTCCCACGTGGCTCAGCCGCCTCCTTGGCTGTTGTTGAAGTGTGTGGGCAAGGCCTGGCATGCAGTAGGCGCTCAATGATGAATGAATACCTGTTGAATGAATGAATGAATGAATGATGCCCAGTTCCCCAAAAGTTCTGTCCAGCTGCTCAGCAGATAGGCTCCCCCAGGTCTGTTTCTGTACCTGAACAATGTAGGTATGTTTCTCTGCCTCCCTCTACCTGAGTGCGCACCTGGGATCAGTGCAACATAGCAGATAGCTACAGGTTTTGAATGCCAGTCAGCACCCCTTTACTGTCAACCCCCCTAATTCCCCACTGCACACCAGAAGGGGCAGTTTTCCCAAGTGGCTGGGTGTCCCTGCAACAACGAGAGTCAAGCAGCCTTTGTACCTTCCATCCACGGAGCGTCCGTCGTGAGCCCGCCACTGCATCGGGCCCTTTGCCTAGACTGTCTCCTCCCTCCATTATCTTCAAGCCCAGATTATTCATTCCCATTTTACAGGTGAGGGAGCCAAGGCCCCAGCTCATCAGAGGCCTAGGAAGTGGCAGCGCTGGGGTCCAACTCAGGTGGAGAATTCCTCCTAGAATCTCTACCTCCCTAATCTACAGAAAATGGAGTGAATTCCCCATTTGCGTGTTCACTCACTCACTCATCTCTTCACCCAGTTAAGAAACATCAGGAGTTCCCGCGGGACATCGCGGCACATGGACACCCTGTCCCTGCTGCTGAGGCGCACAGTCCGCGGTGGGAGTGGGGGACATGCAGCCCAGCGCTGTAGGTGCTGATAAAAGAGGAGCTAGCAGATTGCTGCTAGAGGAACCCTCTGCAGAAGGGCTCACGGAGAAGGGCTGGGCAGGGGGCTCCACGGAGAGGGCACGTGAATTCCTGCAGTGATGAGGGCTCTCCCTGATGCTGGTTCCTCAGCCCACCCACACCAGCTCCTTCCTCTTCTACTTGGCCCTTCTCCCTATGACACAAGCCCTAGGGATGAGCCCATGTGCCTAGGAGGACAGCTCCTTTCCTCTACAGACACGAGAACCACAGGGGGAGTGAGGGCTGCGACGCTGTGGCCCCTCTCTCCCCATTCCCCAAAGCTTGGTGACACCCCCGCTCTGGGGCTCTGGGGTGCAGGCCGCATGCACAGTACAAGGCCCCCAGCCGCAAGCTACCCAGCAGGAACGGGGCAAGCAGAGGGCTCCAGGTGCGTGCCTAAGCACGTCTGCTTCAGTCATCCCGTCTATATCACCGCCACACGGAGAGCAGCAGCAAACCAGCCCTGCTCCGGCCACTGCGGGACACAGTCCCTGCCCCCGGGAGCTCAAGTCTGATGGGAGGAAAAATCATGCACAACCAATGGCAGAATGAAATAAAAGGGACATGCCAGTCCGAGTAGCTGGGGAGATTCAGAGCAGGCTTCACGGCAGAGACACCACCTTGAAGAATGAGTGGGATTCGACGATTGGATGTTGACTCTCTCAGCTACTGCCTGGGAAGGTTCCGTCCTCAGTGGCAGCAGGACACAAGGCCGGTGCCAAGAAGCTGACTGCCACACTGCTGCCAATGTCCACGAATTCATAAAAGCCCCCAAGGGTGTCAGCCCTGCCGCCAGCTGTCCAGCCACCCCAGGGGAACCTCCTGGATTCATGGGACCCTGGGCATGTGGGTGATGGTCTCTGCCACGCCAGGGGCAGGAAGGACCATGCGCCCCCGCAGCCCGCAGGGTCCCTGTTTTCTCCCAGTCCAAGTCTGTCTGTCGTGCCCACATCCTCTCCCAGCTGCACCTCTCCCAAGGGGCGGCCAGTAGACCTCAGTGCTGGTCCCCATCACGGTCCCCTAGTTTACCTGCAGCTCTTGTCACTGTGATACCAGGCGTCAGTCCAGCCTCCGTGCAAATGCTACAGGGCTTCTCAAGAGCACTGTTAACCTCGTAGTCCACT